GCCTGCAGTTGCACAACACATGAGCTCACTCCTAAAGATAATTAGAGGAAAAGGGTGATTTCTTTGAGATCTGCTCCCTGGTGTGTCACCACCTAAGGTACCTCAGCGCCCTCCATCTCGGTGGCCCCCGTGGGGAGAGCTGTCCTCGTCTGATAACTCGTGCCGTTCGGCGGTCAGGCAGGATTGTTTAGTAACGGCTATCTGGGCTATGCTGACAAGGTGTTTAATGTTTCGTGATTAACCTCAGTCATCAGTTGGACAGGCAGAGTGGCTGCTCACTGCACTCTATTCCCCAATTATTGCTCTTTAAGGAGAGTGAAGCAAATTTATGGCCAGTAAGAGGAGAGTAGTATCCCAACAATTACTCTGGGTGCTGGAATTAAATTGACAATTTGTAATCTTAATCGCCTTAACACTGCTACACCCAGGGAGAAGCGAATTCGGCCAGGGCGAGGTCCCGGGAAATCAATTCATGGACTATCTGTCTTTTACCTCTCTTTCTTTCCCCTATCTACTCGTTTTTCTCCAACCCTCTTGCACTCACTCCATTTCACTCTCCTCTACTCTTATGGCTTTGTTTCTCATCAGTGATCCTCTCTCTTCAACGCACTGACATCTTACTTGGCAGAGATTTTCATTATCTAAGGAGTGGAGCCATTTACCAGAGAATGGGCTCCAGCCATCTACTATTGCTGACTGAAAGCTTGTTTCTCTATTGGGTCTTACACTCATCCATCCCCCCTTTTTTAGCACTCTCTAGGCCCATGACAAGTCTGAAAACATGCTCACACACTGGCCCGAGTTCTTTCCCTGGTATTCATAGCTTTACTGATGAAAGCCTGTGTGCACATTCACGACCACTGTTACCTTCTAGAGCTACTTTTTAGAGCTTTATTGAAACAGTTGAGACTTTCACACTAAGACTCTCAGTTTAACCAGTAGACATATTTCATTCTCTAATTATTTTATGAGTTTTAACCTGATGGATTACCACAACTCAAAGTCAGTGCTTTTTCTTGATCGTACAGTATAAATTTCAATAAATCAATGTAAATATTTAAAAGCAGGAACAAAAGACTGAAAGAAGAAGCTTTACAGGCTTGGTGATGATGCAGTGTTTTATTTCTTTTAACAATGACAACCAATTTCTCAGGATTTCGTCTAACGTCAGATTATATAGATTTAGAGTTCTGTTTCTTTTCCTTTTGAGATTTTTAAACATTTGATATGTAACTATTCAGATCAACAACAAAAACAGACAATCAACATGTGATGCTAGCATCCCAATGCATCAAGAATGTGCCTTGAATGAACTTTTCCCTAAGTAGGACACTTAGAAGGTACTTGGAGAACTGACGGACACGAACTAGTATAGATGGGCACCTCAGGTTTTCAGGATTTGTGAGGTTTTCCCAGTTATGCCATTTATTTGTGCTAAACTGCCACTACTTAATGTAATGTTTGTAATGGAAATTAGTTATTCATTTTTAAATGTTCCAGTATTATGAGTATATTTTAAATCCACAGAAGATGTATGAAAAGGGTAATCCATCAAATTGTAACCACTGAACCAATGAATTCTGTTTTTGGGGCCAAATGTGTCCTTTGACTGCTATTTGACTTGGTCTAAGCCCTGTGAGACTATGCCTCAGCACAACATTTGACACTACATGATAATGTTGCTGACACCATCACAATAAATGGCGATCTTTAGTGGGTGTAAAGATCGCACTGATGTGAATCCTTTTACAGTTTCTGAACGGAAATTACACGTAACTTCTAACTCATCACGCTGGCATCAGAAGTCAGAAAATCTCAGAGGCACTTACATTTAATTTAAGGAAATTGTGAATGACTATACCAATGTTCATGGCATTCTGTCCATTAAAACCTTAAATTAGTTTGCTCAAAACCATAGAATCACTGTACTTCACACCCTTTACCAAATTGGTTTTAAATTGTCATTTCAGTCCAGTCTATTAGATTATTTAAAACAGACATATTTCCCACATAGCAGACAGGTCCGGCCCGGATCTGGTGTCAAACCGGTCCTGCTGACTGACTCCTGGCAATGTAAGTGGTATGTCATCCAGATATGGGCCAGGCCTGGCACAGATGGCACTGTTTATGTGATGGCATGCCACATCTGGCCCGACTGTGGTTTGTTTTATGTGGCCCAAGCTCATAGAAAACAGGTCTGGCCCAGATCAAGCTGGCACTTCTGACTGACTGGTGTCATGGCAGGGTGTATGTCAACCAAATGTGGGTCAGGTCTGGCAATGATGGCACTATTTATGTTCCTAATTTTATTTTAGTTAGAAGACCCAAATGCCATGTTGCAATACTATACTGCTATGGTAGCCAACTTTCAAAAGCAGGTTTGACAGGTTTGTGAGTGTACACTTTATCCAAAACCTAGTGAGGGTTTACTCATGTTTAGCACTGGGTGGCTGTAGCTTATGAGTGGTTCAATCACTGGCTCCTCCCGTCTACATCTCAAGAATGTGAATGTGTATGAATGTAGTTAGGAAGCACTCAAGTTAGAGAAAGTGTGTGATTGGGTGACTGTGGCATGTTGTGTAGAGCACTTAATAATGATGAATAATCCATGAGAGTAGAAAAGCGCTATATAGGAATCAGTTTACATGGCTTGATTAAGGTACACATTAGGCTGACATCTGGAGCCAGAGCTGAAACTATTCTGGGCCAGCAGTGTGTCTGCAACTGGCCCGTGGCTGCACACAACTTGCACATGGCCCACATCCCACAAAGAATGACGGTCCTTTGGTGGCGCAGATCTGGTTTGCCAGAGGTTACACATGGGCCAGCACAGAACCAGCAGTGTGTTTGCAACTGGCCTTTTGCTGGCCCATGTGTGGGCCACCTCTGGCAAACCAGATCTGGGCCACCAAAGGGCCGTCATTCTTTGCGGTATGTGGGCCATGTGTAAGCACATTGTGTGGGCCAGATCTGGGCCATACCAATTTTGCTATGTGGGTTAATGCTTAAAATTCAATTATTATCTCTGATTTAAGTTCCAGGTAAGAATTATTTTCTTTCAATCACTGCTGTCTTGATGTGAACGTAAGCTAATCTGATGGGGCAATTTTAAATCTTTACATTGCTGGCAATAAACTGTGAAACATGAAACACAAAGGTGTACCACTTTAAGAACATAATGTGTCATGTCAGGAAATTTAAAGTGTTTTGCATGTCTTTTCATGTGGTTCTGTAAAGGTCAGCGGGATGATTCTTGCTTCTTATGTATTTTTTGTTTCCCCATCTTGGCTTGAGGAAGAAAATTGTATTAATGGATGTGATGGTACAGGAGAGCTCACCAAAGTCATTACGATTCGTCCTTCCTTCTATGGGGACCATATATATTTTTGCTAAATTTATGGGCCAAACAATTTTTAATAATCCGGTCTGCACAGAAATGTTTAGCCTGTCCAACAGACACTTAACAAATCAGGAGTTCATAGGTTACTTCCCTTAAAATGACAAATGCGACCCTGACATTGATCACAGTTTAGGTGAAGACCCATTAGGTGATCATTGTGTGCAAGTTTCACTATAATAATTCTTGTGAATGACCCTTCAGTCATTTTGAATATTAACTCTTATTCTCTGGCCATCAGTTTCACATGGCTATCATCTATATTCTTCAACACTTCTGTGTGAAATTTACATCAAGTGTGAGCATGCAGCAATTTGTCATGTCAAGAAAAATATACTCATTCCTCAGCTCACTATTTTAAGAAGAGCAAAAATCCAACACTGCTTAAAGAGACATTACCATGACTCAGTCTTTTCAATACCCTCAGGCCTGTGTCTAAGCAGCCTTTTATGAAGAATCAGGTTCTGAAGCAAGTCGTTCATGTAAAGCAATACTTTTTGTTAGAATTTCATTCAGATTTCAGAGAGAACTACTTCACTCACCCTGTGCTGAACCATTTTGATAATATCAGAAATATGGTGGCGGTAAAGCAATGAAAAAATAAAAGAGTTTGGTCAATGCACAATATGGAACTCTTTAAGCTAAATAATACCGAATGAGGAAAATGTCACATCAAATTCCCGATCTGATATCTTTATTTGAAGAGTTGGGAATGAAACCTGGCTCTCTTCATAGCTTCAGTATGCTTAAAGACTCAATTCTTGGTAAGACAGGGATGCGATTACTGCTGTCAATGATACACCAGCAAAATCTTCCAATTAAATATTTTACCAAATTATATCAACACAAATTGAACCGTTTTTTGGCAAAGATATTAGAAAACTCTCCAGCTTATCTACATTAACAGAGAAGTTTGCACGGGGAAAAAAATCTGTTGGTTTTTAAGAAAAAAACATTTCACCGTGAACTGAAGCATTTTACTCTAATTGTGCTTTTTGATCCAGGTTTAAACACTGAACAGGATTCTAGTAATTGAGTCTTTTTAAAATACAAATTACAAAATTCGATAGCTCGTGCCAGTCAGCGGAACACATAATAATGGAGGCTTTTATGTCCGTGCGTCTTAATTACTGGAACGCTGACAAGACATTATTCTGGTTGACAAGAAGGTGGCTTTGTATTAGGACTAAGGGGACAAAATACTACAAATGTTACATTCTTATGTCAGTCTTAGAGTTTTTAATAGTTCGGTTTCTTTCACTTCAGTGAATGTTCCTTTAATGTGGCCATTGTGGTTCTATAGGTCATGCTAATATTATTTTATGCAAAATATTTCTAGATTAAGATTTCTGTATGAAATAAACCAGAATTATCCTGCACATCTAATCATCAGATTATTTAGAATAATACTTTATTATTTTATTTCAGTGAGCCTGCAACATGTGCAAGCGATGCATCTTAGACATCGCCTGCACGTGTTGGTTGCTCTGAAGCCCGGGTCAACATATTAAGATATTACAGATGACATTTTATAAACTGTTTTGTATCTTTGAGAAGCAGATGGAAAAGACCGGTGAACACATCCTTATTTTATTTTCTACAGGGCATTCTTCTCTACTGTGAATACCAGGCCTCTACTTTTGATGAGTCGAAGCTTCCCAGCCACAGGTTTGAGGCCATGGACCACTTTGCAAAGTGTTTCCTGATCCTGCGTCTGGAGGACAGCCAAGTAGAGGGAGGTCTCCAAACTGCTGAGGAAGACAGGAGAGGCTGGAGGGCTGTACGCGTGGACTTGGTGTCTCCACCTGTGGATCGCTACGCCTTTACTCTTCTTGGCTGGAGCGGCTCCAGGGTAAGAAGGATTATAGAGAATGAATGAAAGTTAGGTAGCTGCAGGAAGAAGGTGTGAGTAGAAAGAAATGTACTAGTAGTTATTCAGTACATCTTAGAGGTGCTTGAACCACAATTTGAAACCACAATTTGGTATCTAAAGCCAAGTGTACATGATGAAAATATGATTTCATATCAGCAAAGTCTCATATCCTAAAACCATCTTGCTAATAACAATAATGAAAAGACATAGAAGTCCTCCAGGAATACAAAATGCATTTAGACATCGCTGTTTCCTTTTAAAGTCATATGGCTGACAAGGAAAATAGGTATTTAATTTCAGACTATCGATTCTTCCTTTCACAGCAGTTTGAGAGAGACCTGAGGAGGTTTGCTCGAATGGAGCGGCGAATGCTGTTGGACAATCACGCTTTGTATGACAAAACTAAGGTACATTTAAATTAAAACATTTCATTTTTAGCTGATAATTTTAAATTTGGGCATTTTTATGATAAACGTATGATTCAACTGCATGATCAAAGTAAACCTAGTAGATTTTCATGAAGTGCTTTGCATTTATATTCATTCTATCAGTGATTTATATTTATTCATTCATTTAAAAAAATATTTGGTAAATAACTGTAAAAATAAGAAAATCTAACTGCACTTTACTTTTAATGTCAATAATGGGTTGGAGTAGTTAATTCACACATGTACAATATTTAGCTTTATGACTCATTGACAGTCAGCTTATTTTGCTGTTGATCCCCTGTAAGAAGGCGTCCACTTCTTCAGCAACTCATCTTTTACTTGCGATACTACAGATGTTGAGTTTTCACAGAACATTTCTGAAATGAGGGGGAAATGCAGGTCTTTTCAACTTTTTGCACCGACCGTTTTGAATGTGATATAATGCATGCCTCTTTTTTCTGTCACCTGCAGGTAAGTGGCATTTTACCATAAGGCAGGGTCTGTAAATCATTTATCTAAAGCATAAACAAAGAGCAGTGTCAGTATTTGTGACAGTATGTGATGTAGACATGACTGAAAGCCATCCTGTGTAAGCTACAAGTCACATAATTAGAAAACAGCAGAAAGTAAGTTAGACATTTTTAGTCCTGGATATTGTCTCTTGCAAATTTCAAAAGTCTTAAATTCATTTCTGTGAAAAATTAACATTTAACTGTCCCAGAAAATAACTACCACCTCTGTCGCCTCTGTCAGTGCACCCCAGGGTGGCTGTGGCTACAATGTAGCCATCACCAGTGTGTGAATGTGTGTGTGAATGGGTGGATGACTGGTTGTGTAAAGCGCTTTGGGGTCCTCAGGGACTAGAAAGGCAATCTACTGTCGCCATCACCAGTGTGTGAATGTGTGTGTGAATGGGTGGATGACTGGTTGTGTAAAGCGCTTTGGGGTCCTCAGGGACTAGAAAAGCGCTATACAAATACAGGCTATTTACCATTTACCATTACCAAGTCTTAAACTCAGAAATCAAAGGTCAAGAGATTTGTGTGTCATTCCCTTGCATTTCAAAATCTTTGTAAAGAATGGTCACCATGGAGGACATCGGCACAGAAATTAAAATTTCAATTGAATTATTTCTTATAATCAAGACAGCCCATAAAGAGGTGTTAGGTCTGATCACAGATAAAAGTTAAAGTCATGCAGACCACACTTGAAATACGATAGTTTTAATTGTGCATACAAGGTTTTCTAAAACAGACAGCTATTTAAATATAACACTGTCAAACAAATGAGTTCAGTCAAACGTCTCTAACCTAAGACGCACAGCATGTTACTATGCAATGTACTGGACACCCTAAAGTGCGCTATTCAATCTACCGGTTACCATCTCTTAGCATTAGTTGTATCATAACTGCTTAATTAGCGTAACCAGTGTTGAAGATGAAACAAATTCACGTGCAGTGTTTCTATTCTTTGTTTTAACTCATCTCAGTTTAAATGTCTTTTTAAAAATAATAATTATGTCCTAATATTCTGCATACAAAAAATCTCTGGGTGTTTTTGACATTGCCCACAATATCCATGATGAATTGCAAATTTAATTAGAAGACAACCACAAACAGCTTGTCTGTAAGTTGTTTGCAAAGAGATGTCTCAACCAAATTAATACTGCAGTGAGTAGACTTAATTACTAACCACGAAGCCATTGTTAAATTGTATCTTATGCTTTTCTTTTCCTTGCTTTTCTCTCACTGCAGCAGTTTGACACAGATGGCTATCCTCCCTGAGCCAGGTTCCCTCTGAGGTTTCTCTCTGTTAAAAGGAAGTTTTTTTTTCTGTCTTTTTTGTCTCACAAAGCACTGTGCACAGGTTTTATGAACTGACATTAAGTATTGTCTTTGAAGAAGCAAAGGAATCAGTCTCAAATTTGCATGATTCAATTGAAACAAATAAAAAAACCCACACAAAACAAGGTTGGTTGATCTTCTAACAATGCACTAATATATAAATATAGGCCAAACTAAAGAAGGACCAAAGAACTAAAGAAGGAAAATTGTGTTTTCATCAGGGTGAAATGATGGAGACTGTGGAGGCTGGGGCAGGCATTCTCTGATAAAAACTCATTCAGAGAAGGGCTGCCTGATTAAAAACAAATTTGCTGTCTAAACCTGAAATCTGTGTAAAGACAAAAGTAAAACATTATTTCCTTTAAGACTTGAGTAAACAACATGATAATTAAGTTGCTATAAGTGTGTCATGTGCACATACAAACTAGTGTATTTATAAAAAAAAATATTTATGTAAGTATTTATGTATGTAATAGATGCCTTAGTGAAACAAACTCAAAACACTGGAATCTCTGCTGAAAAAATTTACTTTGCTTGTGTGCGTGCCTTGTACATATCATGTGTTGCGCGACTATTTGTCATGAATCGCTGTGTGGCAGGCAGACAAGCAGGAGTGGTGGACCCAAAATGCAGAACTCAGACACGGAAGTGAAACTTAAAGTGCAGCTTTGTTGCTGGGAAAAACCTCATACTAACTAAACTCACCAAAAGACAAACAAAAGTCTGAACAGAGGAACCAAGGACTGAAACACTGGAAAAGAAATACTAAACTGGAGCAGGAGACTAAACACTAGAAACATGGAAGCAGAACACACAGCTAGTTGAGGGTAAGAGGATGAACAGACGTTAACGACGCGACACCGAGTAGGGGAAGACACAGACACTAAATACACGTAGCAGCAATCAAGGGATGAGCAACAGGAGGGGGACACACCTGGGGGAAATCAAAGCTGACGGAACAGGGGAAACGTAAACACACTCACATGAGACAAAGACCTTCAGAATAAAACAGGAAACTCACAGACACAGAACCAGGCAAGACACTGAACTAAACAGACAGATTCACAAGCAGACAGTGTGACACCATAGACAGACGGAGGGAACACAGAGAAGTAGGAGCACAGGCAACCTAAACTAAACATGAGGGCAAGATAACAAAACCTAAACCAGAAATAATAATAATAATAATCATCATCATCATCATCATCATCATCATCAGATAGCTAAAGAATCAGAATATAATTATAATCAAAACCATATCACCAGAGAATAAGAGCTAATCCATAATGCAACAATAAACCAAAACATAAGAAACTCAAAATGCTGGTCGACTGCCTGCAATAGTTATGCCTTGTTCTGCTAACGTCTCCCCTTAGCATTCCAGCTAAGTTAACAGTTCTAGCAACAACCATCACAGCCATATCATTACACAAAGTGAGATAAGCTTTTTTGGTATCAATTATCTACTTAGAAAATCAGTTTGCATGATTCATTTATATATGCAAACGCGTATGCTCACAGGAAAATTCATTACGTACGTCTTGCTAGTACTGGACTGGACCCTCTTTTGCCTTAAGAGCTGCCTCAGTTCTTCGTGGCATATATTCAGCAAGTTGATGTAACTAGTTGCTGCGGTGGCCATTTGAATACAACTCATTGTCATTTTCAAGAAACCAGTTTTAGATGAATTGAATTCTGACCAGGCAGAATTGTAGCTTTAACATGATTTGAGCTTTGTGACATCAGAAAATTGGTGGACGTTGGTCATAAAGGGATGAGCCTGGCCAGCAACAGACAGGCTGTTTCATTTAAATGACACTCAGCTGGTACTGAAGGGAATAAAATGTGCCAGGAGAAAATATTCCCCATCATTGCACCACCCACCTGAGTGGTTCATACACGGCAACATGGATCCATTCTTTCATGTTGTTTATGCCAGATTCTAAGCATACCATCTGAACATCACAGCAGAAATTGTGACTCACCAGGCAATATTTTCCCAGTCTTCTATTGTCCAATTTTGTTGAGCTCACTTGAACAGCAGCCTTGGTTTCCTGTTAGCTGACAGGAGTGGCACTTGTTTGAAGCACATCTACTTCAGTGCTCGGTTTGAACTTCAACAGGTGGTTTGGACTATGTCTAAGTGTACTGAGTTGCAACCATGTTTTATGGTGTACCAAATGTTTTGAGTTGGTGAAAGGCCTTCCAGCCAAATGGCTGGTAGGCTTTTAGCTAGGCTTTAGCTTCAGCCAAGTGGAATTGGCTAGTCATTCATATGTAAATTAGGTCGTTACCTGAGAATTCTGGAGGGGAGTGGGGGTGTGTGAAGGATTGCTGATTTCTAACTGCCAACTGCCTCTTTGTTTGTCTGGTGGGGGGGAGCTGCTAAAAGCTGTGAACTTCCTTTTGTGTTTGTCTTGATGCATTCTCAATCATCCAGGAAAATAAATCTCCAAAAGTCACCAACTTGGAGTGGTTAGTTTCCTGAGCCACAAGGAATGTTTTATTAATGTTGTATTAATGTTTTAAGAACTGTGGGCATTCGATATTGATATTTAACCTTGTCCCTTGCACACAAAGATTTCTTCCCAATGTTTGAATTTTTCGATGACACCTATTTTTTTGGTGAACTTGGTGAACTTCTCTGCCTCTCCAAGATGCTCTTTATACCCCCAATCATGTTACTCACCTGTTGGCAGTTAGCCTAACTCGTTACAAAACATTCCTCTTGCTGTTGTTTTTAGCACCACTTAC